TCACCCCTTCTCAAATAAATATATATAATTATGTTTATTTATGAATAATTATAAAATAATTTTAATTTAAATTTATTATATTTATTTTATAATTTTATAATTATTTTTATTTATAATTAAATTAATATATATAATTTTTCCTAAAATTAATATCTTATCCGATTATAATAATTTAATATTATGTATTTTTAAAACAATGAAATATATAATTTTATTGAAATAAAAAATAAAAAGAATATAATAATTAAGATATTAATTAATTATTTATAAATTAAATAATGAAAAAAATATAATTTAAAATTTTTATTTCCAAAAAAATAAAAATTTGGAATATATGAAATCACGAAAGGTAGCTCCAGAGGGGCTACCTTGAGTTTTACTTTACGAAGTAAAGGGGAGGGCGGCCAGCCCCGTTACCTGATTCTTCAGGAGATTGCTAGTCATTTTAGTACCCCCCCCCCTCCTCCACACCTCCCACGCACCCTAAGAGCAGACTCAAAATACTGTAATTTACAGTATTTTTGTTCTTTTCGGATCAAGAAACCACATTTTGCTACATGGTGAAACCTCCGTAAATACCAGTGTTTTTGCTAGGTGCTGGCCAAACAACACTGTAAATACCGTGCTTTTTACTACCAGAGGCAAACAACATCATAAATACCGTGGTTTTGGGCTTCCGACCCGCCAAAAACATCGGTATTTACGGTGTTTTTTGCTCCGAGAGTTGCAAAAACACGCGAAAACACCACCGATTTGACGATTTTCGGCCACTACGGAACCGAGCAAAAACGGTGCAGGGGTAACACCAACACCAACAACAACAACACCAACAGCAACAGCAACAGCAACAACAACAACAACGACGACGACAACAACAACAACAACAACAACAACAACACCAACACACAACGCACAATGCACAACGCACAACGCACAATGCACAACGCACAACGCACAACGCACAACGCACAACACACAACACACAAAACACACAACACACACACACACAACACACACAACACACACAACACACACACAACAACACACAACAACACACAACAACACACACACACAACCACACACAACAACACATACACACAACAACACACAACAACACTCCACAAC